TGCGAATTGACTTATCCAGATAAGATACACATTATTCACAGTTCAAATTACGATGAACAAATATGTTCAAATAAGTTCAACACAATCTAATATTCGATTTTGTATTTAATTTTATCATTAATGTATTTACTGAAGAGATATGATGTATTTCTAAACCAAAGATCGAAACGTCTACTTCAGTTATTATAATATATTCAATAAAATGTATAATTACAATAACATCCAACATCGGCTCTCAAAGGCTTCTTATTCCTCATTGATTCAATGATTAAATTAGAAAACACCCTATATAATATTTTTAATAATAATAGGGGAGAGGGGTAACTTTGAACACTTTTTCTTTTCAGGTTCATAAATTACTATGTAATGAAATTATTTGTACTTCTGTTGTGCTGGTAATTACTACAGATATTAATGTACAATAATACATCATTGAAACAAATATCATAACGACATATATACTTTATTTATATTTTATAAAAGTTCTTTATATTTGAAATTAAAAAATTTTAATATAAAAAAACTTGCGCCATTAGAGCTAAGTTTGCTAGCTGCGCCAAGTTTTCTTATATTAAACTTTTTTTATTTCAATTAGATGCTCTTATTTTTATGTATTTTTGTTTAAAGATAGTTATATAACATTAATATTTCAAGGAAATGTATTTTCTATTTATAATTGGCGCAATTTGAAGATTTCATGTATTATTGAAAAAAATTATTATTATAAATTTTCATAGTTTGGAAAATAGATTTGAAATAGAAAGTAATTTTTTTCTTCAAGGACCACATATAATAATAAACGCGTATAATAATTTATATTTTTTTCTAAAAGGAGCAAATACCTTTGATCTTTTTTTAAAAAAATTAATTTATTATTATTTTTATGTTATAACTTTTTTTGAACTTAGTTGGATTCAAACGAAAAATTTCCTATTCATAATTTTGAATAAATTAAGTAGCATGGTCCGTTTCAAATTATTCCGAGTAAAAATTATTTTTATTCAATTGAATTGAAAAACTGCATTTCCTATTCAGAATTTTAAATTGAGCATATTCATGATGCACAGAAATGGCTGACATTTTTAAATTCAACTGAATTAGAAAACTGTATTTCCTATACACAATTTGGAATTGAATTCACGATGCACAGAAAATGCTAATATTATTTTTTAGATTGAAAGACATAGGGATATGCTTCAATCTTCATGCAATTCCTATAAATGAATAAAAATGCAATACAATAAAAACAAATTGACAGGCTCCAAAGAATAAATCAACGAAATATTATGCCTATGAGAACTAAACACAGAGTATTCGCATGTAAAGGATTTATTTAATTAGTATATAATATGAAAGACATTTCGATTCTATTGCGGATTCTTTTCAATATCTTGATATCCAATAAACGAGAATGGATTGAAATGAATTGAAATGAATTCAGATTTTCAGAAATATTGATTCACGAATGTTAAAATGAATGTTTTTCAATCCTGAATGCATTTTTATAGGAATTGCATGGAGCATATCTTTATGCCTTTCAATCTAAAAATAATATTAGCTTTTTCGGTGCAATTGTGAATACTGTTCAATTCAAAATTTTAAATAGGAAATGCAATTTTTCAATCCAATTGCATCCAATTGAATCCAATTGAATCCAATTAAATCCAAAAAAGTATTCATTATTTAAAATACACATTCGGATAGAAAAAAATTTCAGTCCATTTTAATTTATTCTCGTTTGCTGAGTAACATTTAATATAATAAGATTAAACATTGATAAATCAAATAATTACAAATAATTACTGATCTTTAACATATGCGATGTGTACCCGTGTCTTATATTGTAATAAATTGTGATGTCCAAGCGTATTTTCATAATAATTATCGAGCTAATTATTATATTAGCATATTAATATAATATATAAATTATTAGAACGAAATTAACAATAAATAAATAATAAATAATAAATAATAAATAATGTTTAAAACTTACAATTGATAAATGCAAAGACAGATCACACAGATGAAATTACTATTATATGCTCTCATATTACTGACGTATTTAAAAACGAGATCTTTGGACGTTATGTCATTATTTATGAATGTTGCAGTTGATTTAGTTATTGAAGGTATGAAGAATAAGTGGAATTTGATACAAGGTAACACTTACATCTTATTGAATGAGTTTCATCAATTAAAATTATTTCTCAATTCCACGTTCTTCACGTTCAACGAAAAATTGTACAAACTTTTGAAATACCTATGGGATCACCTTTATTCCCCATAGTAGCAAACATAGTCATGTGTGACTTAGAAATGAATTTTTTAAAATTATTATCTGTATCTCTTTCGTTTTATATCAGATATGTCGGTGACATTGTACTAGCTATTAATCAAAATTACATTGAAATATTATTAAATACCTTCAACAATTACTATCCAAGAATTAAATTTACGATGAAGATAGGAGATACTCTTAATTTTTTTGACGTTATTCTAATTATACTACTACACATATAATGATTGACATCAGAAATCTTCTTCTTTAGGATGATACTTGAATTTTAACTCTAGACAATCCTTAGTACAAAAACAAAACATTAAATTAGGATAAAATTAGGATTAAATTAGGATTAATTGATAGGGTTTTATTTCTCTCTCACCCAAGGTACTATCAAAAGAATTTTGACGATATATATATATATATATATATAATTAAGATCCTTTTAAAAAATGATTACCCATTAAATTTAATCTTTATCATTATTAGCAGAAAGTTGCATAAAAAGTTCGAGTTATTAAATAGTAAATTAGTTAATAGCAATAATAACACTAATATTAATGAAACAAAGAAATGAAGGTTTTTTACAATATCATTTGTTCCTTATATTACTGAAAAAGTTCTTACATAAGCATAACACACAAAGGTGTCAATAAATCAATAAATTAAAGAAATTCATCCGTTCAAAAAGATGAACTCCCTGTTTTGTCACATTTCAAATTTAGTGTATAGAATAAATTATAAAGATTGCAATGCATCTTATGTGGAACAAACAGATAGAATTTTAAAAACACGTATTAAGAAACATAGAAATCATATTAACTGGAATACGACATAACAATCAATTATTACTGCACATAAACTTGATTTTTCATATGAATTCGACTAGGAAAACATAAATATTTTAGCTGAAGAAGAATTTTTACGCAAAAGATTGACGTCAGAAATGATTTTCATAAAAAAACAAGTTAATGATTTAAACATTAAAAATGACACGAAATCTCTCGACGCGGTTTATTCTAATTTATTCACAAAGACTTGATGTTTCCTTCTCCATACCAGTCTTGTCAACATATTATATATATTGTTTAGTTACAATTAAATTAGTCATATGAGAGCGAGAAATAGAATCTACGCTTTCTCTGAGAGAATTTTCTCGTTTTTAAGTACGTCAATACTTACATACAGTAATATGAGAGCATACAATAATGATAATAATAATTTCATCTGAGCGATCTGTCTTTGCATTTATCATGTAGTTCAAGTTTCAGTTATCATCAAGTTTTAAACATTATTTATTATTTATTTATTTCGTTCTAATCATTTTATATAACTGTTATTTTACAATATTAACTCGATAATTATTATGAGAATACGCTTGGACGTCACAATTTATTATGATTACAATGATTACAATAAAACTATATGTCGCACAATACGATTGTTAAAATTCAATTTGTATAATAATTATATGATTTATCAATGTTTAATCTTATTATATAATGTTATCAAGATATTGAAAAGAATCCGCAATAGAATGAAACGTCTGTCATATTATATATTAATTGAATAAATCCTTTATACGCGAACACTTTGTATTTGGCTCTCATATTAGGCATAATATTTCGTTGAATAAAAATGCATTCAGGATTGAAAAGCATTTATTTTAACATTTGTGAATACGTATTTCTGAAAATCTGAATCCATTTCAATCCATTCTCGTTTAAAAAAGTAATGAATTATTATTCTAGATCTTCATTTAAACAACAGCGCTTTGATACTGAGCACTGATTAGTGAAAAATCGGAGGTAAATTTTTGGGAATAAAATTTATCCTCATTACCTCTTTTTCATATGTTTTTATATTTTGTAATAATTTTGTATATTTTAAATGTTCACATGTAGTGATTTTTCTAAAAATTTTTTGTTTTAATGTTTTTTGCTTCTAATGTCTCGCACATGTGTACTCTCATTACGCGTGATAGTATAATGCCTCGCATGTGTGTGCTCCCATCATGCGTGATGGCAATATAACGACGATCTTGCGTGCACAACGTGATGATTATTTGTGATGGCAGTGTCAGTGCTCCCGTTGATTTGTAATAACTTATGATCATATACTTTATCATACGATTTGTTTACGCTCGCATATGCCCCATCACACATGGACTGCATAGTGCCATCATTATGCTCGCACATGTGCGACTATCATATCATGAAGGCGATGTGGCGTTTTTGCACGCACAACCTGATATTCACATGTGAGGGTTATGATCTCGCACGAATTATTATCTTGAATAATTTTCTTTTTCTCGTCTTAGCTTGTCTAATGGATCGTGTTTCGATATGCTGCTAGTATTGAAAATTTATAATTTATGTTATACATACTATAGATTTTCAGTATATCGAAACATGGCTATAATTTAAAGCTTTAAAGGCAGCACTTTTCATGGCCATTTTTAATACTCTCGTTAGTATAATACGTTAGTAAATTTTGCGATACTGACATAAGTCGGTCGCGTTTCACTTATATATATTAGAACTCTAAGTAGGTGTTTGTTAGATTTAGAAATGTTTTATTTTCAAGCTTCTTTGGTTTTCAGTGAGAAAAGTTATAAAATTATATCATAATACAAATGATTAAGAAATTGGATTGAAATTGTCAACAAGAATAAATTCTTTTAATGCGAATTTTGATCTTTCTCATGGATGGAAAAAAATTTTATTATTATTATATTCAGCGGTCCAAAAAATTATATGTATAACTTTTGTTGCATTTTTGAGACAAAAATCAGCTCATTTTAGCATTCATCCTTTTTTGCAATGGATCCGTAAGTAAGTATTTTTTTTTTATTAAGATTATTATGGATAAATATATATCCTACACTACTATATTTTGTATATTTTATAAGTTGCAACATGATTTCATGGGATGGCCGAGTTGCATATAGTTGGACAAGTTTCATCCGCAAAAAATTTTAAACAATCACATCTACTTTGTAAATGGAATTTTTATGTTGGTAAGAAAAATAAGCCCATGTCTATTAGTTAATAGAAATAGATTTGTCACATCAATAAATTTTGTTATTATTGTAGGTAATGGTTGGAAAATCATATCAGGATATGAGGAAGGACAAACGCAAGAGAGCTGTGATTTTTATACTAATAATCCAGTTTGGGATCATCCGATAGATTTACATTACACAACTCAGACTATACAAAATTCTCCGAAGTTATTATTACAAGTATTTGGCAGAGATAATTATGGAAGGATAATATTTCTTTCATATGGAGTATATAATGTTCCAGTATCATCTGGTTCTTATGTTTTAGATTGTCATACATGGAAACCTATTGGTATATGCACTGACAAAATTTCATAATACATTGTATTAACAAAATTTATCATTTTTATTTATTCTAATAAAAGTTTATTAAACTTTTATACAGGTACTTGGAAGGACAGATTATATGATAAATTCCTAGGAAATAGTTTACAATTAAAATCACCTAGTGTTTTAATAAACACATTAGATAGGTTTGAAATACTAACACAAAGCATGGGAACAGTGATTGTTCAGTTATATATCTTAACAAGAAATTTCGATAAATTTGGATGTCAGTTGTGAACAGATGATTATGAAAGCAATGGAAAATGCATAAGCAATATTCAATTAGAAAGTCTTAGCAGATCTAAGAAAAAGATCTAATTTTGAGTAAATATTGGTATAAATATCAAAACATAAATATCAATAATTTACAACAATGTTTTCTCTTTCATTGTTATTATTAGCATGTATTAATGTGGTAGAAGTAACGAAAATAGAAGATATATCAATCTGTAAAAATGACACAGATTGTAAGGAGTCAAACTCAACCATATATACACAGATTCCTGAAATTGATAATTCATCTTTAAAGGGCTTATTAAATGATACAGAAGAAGATAAAATATTCACTACTACCATTCCGACAGAAATAATATCTTCAAGAATAAATATCAACTCAACAGAGCAACTAGAAGTACAATCAACTTTCACAACAATATCCTCGCCAGTAGTACGTCCAAGTGGTTATGAAATTCTTACACTCAAAAAAAAAGAGATACGCGAATGTGACTTGATTGTACATGCAAGTCATTTTTAATATAAAAAAATATAAATAATTGAAGGAATAAAATAAGGCCAAATTTTTCCTCGCGATGGAATTTAAACTATCTTTAAAAATCTTTCGTTAGATCTCAAGAAGTAAGAAAATAACTATTATTTATTCGAAAAGTGATAAGAAAATTGTGAGACTAACGCAGTAAGTTATTAGGCTTTAATATTGTGTTTATACGTGGAAATTTAGAAACCAATCGGAACTTATTGATTTATATATATAAAAACATATTTTATATTTTACAAATATTCAGGAAGCGTATATAAAATTGTAACGATGCATTCCTAAAAACTGTATCGTCCCCGGTAGAAATTCTGACTGAATGCCGTCGCATCCACCCACCAGTGGAATGCAACGATGAGGACGCCCGCATATTTTTTAAACAGATCTAAAGATAATTCACAAGTGATATCCGCTCCGCTGGAGATTTCTGAATACACACGAATTACACTGAATTCCGTTTTTTCCCGCTCGTATTAACCGGTGAATGATTCCGGAACAATACGAGTGGGAACAACAATTAATATAAAAGCCGCGATTTTTCTCTTTTTTCTTTTCTGTATTGATCTTGCTCCTATTCCATTATCTTCCAATTCCGAATCCTCCGACCGCGAGCATAGAAAAGTGGTAGAGAGTATTTTGTCACTATCATGCGTTCTCGATCGCAACCGATTAGTATCCTAGAAATATCTCTGAGGCAGAGTGTATTTTGTTTTGCTGTATTTTGTCGTTCTCGACCGCTGGTTTGCTTGCCGCCGTTTTCTGCACACCGACATAATTCCAGGGATAGAGAGTGCTCTGTCTCTGTCGTCTTCTTGACCATCGGGTCCACCTCGACAGTAGTAAATGAGTGAAATTTTTTCCGCCTCCGCCGAATGTTCTCGACCGCTGAGTGTTTAAAACGCATTCTTGGTTTTCCCCATTGCATCGGAGAAAACTCGTGCGCTTTACCGCGATGGGTACCGCGACCGCGACCGCGACTGCGATTTGCTGCGTATACCCGCGAGCCGCGTCTGTATTGTGAAGCTGACGGCAATATCGATCCGTATCGCGTTGCGTTTACACACACAGCATGCATATACATATCTTCGCATAAGACTATATTATATTGCTTATATTTAAAAATACATGATTCTTTACTGCAACATTACACGAATCCAATTTATTTGCATCTTGCCTCTCGAAGCGATTTATTTTGCGCACCATTATCAAAGTTTCCGGCGAGCATACAAAATTGAAGTTGTTACAACGTTAAAATCAACGTATTAGGAAACAGTCTTCTTTATACCAATTTTAGCAAAAGGAAATAGTATTTTTCTTAAGTCAAATACGCGTTGATTTTGTTTTATTTAAGTTGCTTTAATATTTTTTACATGCATAGTTCTTAATGTCGGCGAGTTGAGCTTCTATGTGCGAACAATAATGGGATTTCAGCCCTGAGCAAATAAGCGTTTTGCCCCTCTACTTTTCCTCATCATGATATCATTAGAATGAAGATATCATCCGAATAAAACAATGAGTATGATGTTTAAGAACAGGCACATATACGATTACATTTTGACAGGACGCTTGCACTTTATTCTGTGTACATTAAGTTTCTTTATGCAGTTTCTTTCCTCTTCCTCTCGCTAAGTACAAATTTAAAAAAAGAAAATATACAAGTGTATAAAAAAGGTATCGAATATTACATTCTTCTTAATAAAAAACGGATACGGATAAATGCAATTATCCAAGTATTTCATAACGCAAGACATAAGATAGACTGAAAGTGACCAAAATGGTTAACCGGATTATAATGAAAAAAAAATCTTTCATCCCAGGTCGTAAAATGCAATATTTTAGAATCAATAAGTTAAAATAGAAATTATTTACAATATGATCTAATAAAAAAGTTATTACATACAATTTATCTCTGCAGATATACACAATACATGAAAGTAATAATTCAACAAAGAACAGATGCTAATAATTGTTTGCTAATTTTGTAACTGCTAATTTTGTAGCTTCGCTATTTATAATTCAACTTATACGAGATAAAATGACATGGTGTTTGGAGTCGTTTGATCAATTCAAATAGTGCACGCCAACCAATTGTTATAACCGGCGTTCGCTATTATTTATATTCAAACTTTCGAGGTTATTTTAGAATGTTTCTATCCAATGGAGCAGAGTTTCGTTCTTTTTTGATGAGAGCATCACTTTTGATTCTAATGAAAAAAGGAGCGATATCAAAATGTTTCAAAATTTTAATCACGTTTTTTTCGAAACCGTTTTCGAACATGGTTTGGATCACGATTTCAAACGAACTATTGTATTAGTCTGACCGACTTCTACTTCAAGGGTTATATTCAGAGAATATGTTATTATCTGAACCACAATTAATAGCTTACGTTAATTTTTTTCTTTAGATTAATTTTTTTTGGAAGTATAAATAAGAGGAAAAATGAGGAAAATTCGAAAAATTTTTTTAAACTGTCGTCATTTTGAAAATATGCAATGATATTAATTATCCTGATTCGGGCGAGGATTACAAGTTCATTCATTAAGAAACTGCTTTATTTTTTTATTTTCAGATCAACAATACGATTTATCTTGATCATCATTTGATCGTGTTCATGATGCAGGCCAAATTTCAGCGCTATCTTATTACTACTTTGTAAATAATAAACAAAAAAATATTTTTTTACATGTTCATTGTATATTATATGCACTTTCTACTTCACCTGTACTGCTTTTTAAGTGCACTTACATCTTTATTCATTAAAAAAATTCTCGAAGAGTTTAAAATTGATTCTCAAATCCTTAATATTTAATAAACAATAAAAATGAAACAACGTTTAGAGCATCGTGAACACCAAAGCGAACATAGTCTAGATCTCAATATTGACTGCACTAATTTTGCTCGGATTAACCGCAATCGAAAAATTTCACTGATATATAAGAAAAATATTTTTAGATTTTTGATTGCGAGTTTAGTTTCTGAGTAATTTTAATCGAAAGTTTATCGATATCAAAAATTCCAAATAAAGCTAGTAGTAGTGTTGAAAATTTGATAGCGGCACGATCATGCAATAATGTTTACACGTCAAGCAGTTTTATATTTGGAGTGTGATTTAATTTTGAGGGTTTTTTCTCAAAAAAAACTGATTTATTTAAACAAGATAATGAATGAATACCTTGATCAAAATATTTTCCTTCGTTTTGTATAACTTTTTCCCATTTTTCTGGTACAAGATAGATTCCACGACGATAAAAAAATTCTTCTTTGGAGTCCAATTTTTAACAAATTTTCACATATCTTCGAAATTATGAAAATGTGTAATATCCTCTAGAATATGTTACATCAATTGGAACAAATGAAAATCAAGAGCAATGTCTGAAGAATATGCGAAGTGCGGTAAGATTTCCCATTTCAGCTATAATAGTGTTTGCTTTACTGATAATGCAACAGTTGAGGTCGAGCATTGTCATGAAGGATCACTTTGCATCGTTTACTTGCAATTAAAGATCATTTTTGGTCTAATACTTGCTTCAATTTGTATAATTGTCATTAACAATCAGCGGTAACAGTTTTTTTTCGGATTTAATAGTTCATAGTATATAATACCTTTTTGATATCTTTTTGATACACAACAATATCTTTGAACTGTGAATGCGCCTCGAATTGAATGTTGATTGATTTGGATTAACCCATGTTTTTTTTCGTTTCGTGATTATCCAAAATAGATCTATTTTTCATCAATAATTTAATATAAAAAAAACTCTACTTTTGTCTAGCGATTGACGAAATACAAATGTTCAATCGATTCGCAATGGCATTTTCCGATAAGTGATGTGGAATTTATTTTCCTTCTTTGTGAATCTTTTTCGCATGTAAACGTTTGGTAACTATTGTACGGTCAATATTTATTTCTCTGACAAATTCTGAAGTGGATTGTATTTGGATGAAGTGGATTGGATTTTCGTTCAATAACGATTTTTGTCGTTATCATTGAAATCACTTTTGTCTGAACTATCTGAATCGATATTCACATGTCTTAATTGATGGAGCAACATTACCATAAGTTTCTATCAGAATTTTATGACCTTCAGTTGTCGTTTTCTTTTGAAAAAACAAAATGCTAAAAACAAAATGCATATCGAAAATACTCTTTAAGAAGCTCCATTTTTTTAAATGGTATAACACTATCCTTACTACATCTATTGTTAATAAATGACTAAATATCATGGAGTAATAGTATAGCATTAAGAAATAATAGCTGCGATTGAAATATCTTCAACAACACTGATATTAATCTTTTGCAAAATCCTCAAAATTAAATCATACTTCTAATATTTTTGTACACTTGGCATCGCGATGCTACTGCGTTGCTCAATAAAAAGTACACACAAAATACTTACGTTTAATCATTATGCTATTTCTTAATTTTATTAATTCTCGACCTACATTATAAAAGGATTAAATAAA